TTTCAAAAATAATAAAGCTGTTATTGTAAAATAGACTGTAATAAAATATAAAGTCTGAAATTTTCAGGATCATAAATGCAATATTTTATTTTGTGAAACTATTTACAGCAAGGTTTCCTCTTTTCATTTTTCCTTTTGCTACTTTCTATCATTACTTAGATCAGTTTGACATGTTTTAAATGAAGCCATATATTCTTCTGTCAAATAAAACAGTGAGTTGAAACATTAAAAATGAGATATAGCATTTGCTCTTTTACTCCTGTAAGGGGTCATCATGACTGGTCTTCCTTCATAGTTTTCTGTTCTCCCTGGCTAATTGATGAAAATTCTCTGCAAGGCTGGCCTGGTCCGTTTTGATCTCGTCTTCAACTAAGAAATAAATCATTGGCTGATGCTGCTGGTGAGGCAGGAGCAACCATATGGTGTTGAAGAATAAAGACTGACTTGAAGGAGACTTCACTTATACATAATCTATAAGTGGATGTAAGCTCTAATAATCTTGATTAAAAATATAAACAGGGATTAATCTACGTCAAAGTTTGGAGCTTTTCCAGCCTTGGAAATAAATCAGACAAAGATAACAAATATATTGGCAACTTTATTCGGAAAAGAAAAAACCAAAATGTAGATTATGCTGCTTAAGTAAATTTTTGAAAGTCTGTAATTTGGTGAAAAGACCTTGGAAAATATGTAACAAGGAAAAACATTTGCAAGCATAGAGGCCACACATATTTAAAGTTTCATATACTAAGATGTAATAATTATTTCTAACAGCAGATATTATGAAATAAAAAGGAATGATAAAAAGCAAGGAATTTTCTGTATAAACTTTGTCACTTTGAAAATTATGTATACAGCAATATTTCTTGTTTATATTGTTTTATGTTTAGCAGTTTTGTTTGGTAAATTGTATCAACTTTGAATGTTCATATTGAATGATATATACCTATGGCTTAAAAAATGAATATACAGTTATAGTGACTCTTCACAACTGGTCTTCCTCCATGGTCTTCTGCTTTTCTGGCTTGTCCTGCTCATCCCTGAAGACTCTTTGCAGAGCAACCCTCAAAGATGCTCTGGGCTGATCCTTTCCTGTCTGTTTCCTCCCGACTAAGAAATAGAGGAGGGGGTTGATGCTGCTGTTGAGAGCAGCACATCCTATGCCAATTGTCATGAGAATGTAATGAGGGGGATCCAAATATTCTAAGACATAAACGACATTCATTGGGACAGAAAAAAGGAGGAAGAAAAGGAGAGCCAGCAAGATGGCGGTCAGCAGCTTCCTTTGCTTGCATTGTGCTTTTGAGCCCACGTGGAACAAGAGGGTCACAGTGGACACAACCATGAGCGGCATGCAAAGTAAACCATTCACAATCAGCTGGTAAACTAAAGGTGAACTTCCAAAGCTCCTGGTCTGGTGGAGAATGAAGTGCACTGCAGTGAGCAGGAAGGAGAGGGTCCATATGATGCCACAAACAATGGCAGACAAATATGGCGGACGATGACAGTGATGCCACAGTGGGAAGAGGACAGCCACGCACCTGTCCAGGCTGATGGCCATCAGGAGAAACTGGCTAGAAGAATAGGTGAAGAAAAAGAGCTCGAAAAAGAAAAAGAAAAAGGTATCGAGAAGGTAAGCTCTTGCAAACAGAATTGAGAAAGCCACAAATATAAACGACACAATGAGGGATATGAGGACCCCAAAATCAGCGATGGAGAGATTCAGGATGTATGTGGTGAAAGAATTCCTCTTAACAGAATAGGCCAGTAGATAAATCATCCTTCCATTTCCCACCAGGCCCAAAATACAACTAACAATAGTGAAGCCGGTTATAATATTTTGTGTTAAATTATGGAAGAGTTGACCATAAGGAGTAACAGATGTTTCCATGGTGTCAGTAAATTTCACAGAAGTTTCCCATGTGAGATTTGCCCCGTTCGACAGAGAAACTCTCGTGACACGTGTGGTTCACAAAGAA